AAAATAAATACAAAAAAAATACAAAAATAGAACAAAAGCCAGAAATCCGCTTGAACATTTCCCAGCCATTTATCATAAAATGCCAACACAATGCCACCGATATGCAGACAAAACCAAATTCGAAGATTATGCCTTCAAGTTGATAAACGAGATGTCACCGAAAGTACTTTGTGTTGTAGTCTTAACACCTCGACGAATCGCATAACAAATTGGTTTATTGAAAGGGCCAAAACAGCGAACAACATCAAAGTTTCACCTCTAATTTGCAATTGTTTTAGTTAGTAATTAGGCTAGGGAGAAAAGATAAATCAAAGCACGAAAACAAAAAACAGTGATAAATCACCAGCAAGATAATTTGATGAATTCCAGACTTTGATGTGCCAAAAATAATTGCATGCAAATTTATTTTAATGCATATTTACCCACGTAATTGCTGCAAATTTACGTTTCATTTAATCGGCATTGTCGGAGGGTCTACAACAGACAAAAAGAACAACAAGATTATATTTGGCAAAATACCAGATAGACTCTAAAATACCCTGTAAATTTTGTATATTTTTAACTGATCCTAAAATAAAAAAAAAATTCTTAAGAAAAAAAAAATGTAGTGGAGATTATTGTAATTTTGTAATACAAGTATTAAACATCCAATAATTCCCTTAAGTCACTAGTTTCACTTAAAAAAAAACCTTAACATGTTATATTTATTTTCCATATAAACATTACTCACTAGCTCTATAAATTATTATCAGTTAGATTATCCCACCATCAAGTTCACATTTAGCATGATTGTTGCCAACGCCTGTTTCCCCGTAATATACCCTTTTTTCCATGCTGGGCAGTCAAATGGCGACCATGAAAAAGCGGCAAACAGATTATAACTCCCAACTGACATTTGGGGACTTTATTATTTGGCCATTGAAAAATGCGAGACTATCCGAGAGGGGTGGTGTTTTTTTTCGCTGTCGGTTTTTGTGGAGGGGTTGGCACGCGGGACCCAAGTGGATTTTAATTTTTCAAAGTTAAACAGCGTCGGCGACCCTTTTTTACGCCCGAGGACCGCTTGACTGGACACTGGGAATTGTGGATTGAGCTATGTTTGCCTGAATGTCGCGGCCGGTGCTTTATTGTTTACCTTCGCGACTTTGCACTGATTGATCCCTTGGGTGGCTCAGCACGACTCGATTTCGAGCTGGGCTGCTGGGTGTAATTAATTTCGCTTTTTGATTTGCGATTTGTGCCCCGGCAAAAGCATCAAATTGTCACGTAATTATATTTGCGTTAATGATGTTTTCGGCGCGTCGCGACGGCCAGCGGAAAAGTCAATTAATATTTTTGGTGACCGAACAACAATTTAGACCGTTGCGGCGCTGGTCGACTTTAATTAAAATGCTTTTGGCCGCCATTTCAATGCATGCTGGGATTTTTAATTTCCATTGAAATCGTGACAACCGATTTTATTTTCTCTCTCGCTTTGTTTGCATTTCGCTCATTCTTCTTGTCATATATATTTTATATATAACAATTATATATAATATAATTATATAAGCCTTAAGTGGCTGTTAATCTCACTTTAATTTTATCAGAAAAAAACTTGTTTTTGCTTCATTCTGATTTGCAATCTCGTGAAACTGAGTGTGATATTAAATGCAAATTGAGATTGTCTGGGCTTGTTATGTCACAAATAAGATTACCGACGAATGATGAAAATAAGCATCGGAAATAATCAAAATTAAAACATAAAAATAAAAAATATAGTTTCAAAAAAGATTAGTTTACCATGGCTTAGTCATAACCACTTAAAACTCCACTCTAAAATAACACATCATTCTTAAGATATTAAAAACTACATGATACTAATATTTCAAGCCATAACTTTTATTGTGCTGTTCGAAAACAGAGTGTTGGTTTTATTGCTTAGCAAGCTTATATCAGAACAATTATGGTGCTATTGTTTTAGCATCGACATGAAAATTGAAGAAGAAATTGTGAACAAGATGAAATAACATAACAAAACTTGTTAATAGCCAACACAACCACGCTCACTTATTTCGCAATTTCAATTTTTAAGTTGTCCGACACTTGGTTGTCATGTTCGATAGCTGATGTTATTCTACACGAAATATAGATTTTTTATATATATTTGTAAAAGGGTGCGATTACAGACGTGATGCACTCATTCGTCTGCTCACGTGCTGCATATTCATGTCAACTTGGCTGGAGCGAAGTTGAGGTAAAGATTCTCTGCACAGGGGAAAAGTTGTTGATTTGCGAGGGTAATAAAGATATTAAAATACCATTTTCCTTTTTCCTGCAGCTATTACTTGACCAATTGCTTTGTTTTACAACTTTTATACCCAAACAAACTATAATACAAGTACCTACAATTGATTTCATTTTGATCAAAGGTACTGAAAAAACGCAATAATGTGAAGATAAAAATAATCATAAATCCAGATTATTAGCTTTTTCCTCTGCACACAGATAGTGTGTGGCATCGGTATGAATTACTATTAATGGCGAGCAGTATAAATTGAATTTCATTACATGACGACGTCAATTAAAAGCATGTAAAACTCAATCGGGAATGACGTTTTTTTAAATGCAGCCAAGCCATCATCAAGAAGAATCAGAGCCCGAATCAGGAGGGCCCCAGGGGAAATAATGGGAGGTGGTCGGCGGGACATTGACGTTGGCTTAATGAGTCGGCAAATGGCTGATAAAAATGCACAGTGAATATGAAAATCGCTGGCGCTGACACTCGTGACGTCGTGACGCGGCGCAAAGTTCTCGAAACTGACAGGAAACATTGATAAAAGTGCCAACTGACATTGCGTAATGATGGTGCGCCTTAATAGCCGGCTCATTAAACCAGGCGTGCATTAAAAAAATAAAAAAGACAAACAACAAACAGCAAACAGTACAGAAAAAGCGAGAACAAATACATTGAAAATGAAAAATCACAATGCAATAGCGCAAAAAAAAAGAAAATGATTAAACATACATCATAGGGGAAAGTTTTTTAATCAGGACTCACTGCACCCGCCATAACTCACATTCGTTAATATTAAAAATCTAATTAAAACTTAAACAGAATTCGGTATTATACAGAGGCATTTTCGCAGTAAAAATTCGTTTAAGCTAAAAGCCCATTAACAATTATGACTTTCCTTTGCTGCCCAAGTAGTTGAAACTTGAAAAGAGGAAAGTGCGCTGCGAGTGACGCAGCCTCTGCCTTTTCTTTATCCTCCGCCGCCCCCTCGACTTTGTCATAAGTCGTCGACTTCCCCGATTAAAGTACTATATATATATGAATTGTATATATATATCAGCAGCAGCAGCAACATCGGTAGCAGCAACGTTTTGGCTGAAGCTTCATTTTCAGTTTTACTTTTTCAAGTTTTAATTCTTTGAATTTTAATGACTTCTCGTAATAAGTTTTCATTTCTCATAATTTCTCGGGTTAATAGAATCTCTGCAGTTTTATGTGTATGGCTGCAGCAGCACTCCATGTAGAGCAAGCTTTAAGTTCTATAACCGTGGGATTTATCAGATCCATTTAGGTTAAATTGATTACGATAAACTTAAAAGATCAATTAATTAAGTAATAATCAAAAAAACAGGATACATTGTTAATGACTAGTCATCAGTCTCCATTTGTATTTCATATTTAATTGTTTCACCTCTTAACGAACCAAAATGTAATTAATTTTTTAAATTCAACACAGAGTATTGCACAAAAACTTTGTCAATTTGAAACCACTGTGCCCAGCTCATTGAAAGTTTTTTGTTACAAAAACTATAAGAAAATAGCAGAAACTATAATTATGAAGTTGACACAAAGTCAGGCAGCAGTTACAGCGACCAGTGAAAAAGCAGACGACAATAATGACTCGGACGAGTCAAGATGAAGGAGGAGAAGGGGAAACAGGACTACGGACTACGGACTATGGACTATGTGGAGTCCTTGGCAGCTATGAATTCTATCAGAGGGGAAGCACTAGAAATGCATAAAAGTCGGACTGCATAAAGCGCAGCAGGACCGCAGCAGTTGACATTTATGTGGAACTGTCACTGCTGGCTTAAAGTAAACTTGGCCAAGTCGGAATGGTTGGGGAAATGGGTGCCGGAGTGGGTGGTTAAAAGGCAGAGTGCAAGTAGGCCACGTCTTGGGAGTGCTCGAGTCCTTGAGCAGCGTTAAATACTTGGCTTCTGATTGCACCGCTCGGCGGTTGTGGCTAATCGTAAATTCAAAAGCGGCAAAAGTGCAACAGCAGTAACAATTAACTTATTAAATGGCGAGGACAAAAACCGAGGGGATGTGGGCATGCAAATTGTGGAAATGAAACCGAACGAGGCGTGAAGAAGACTTCCAGGGGGGAAAATGGACGCGAAATGAAAAAGGAGAACTTTTACATGATATCTACCTTCCCGCTCACTCCACATCAAAGTAATTTATTTTCCAGATTCCGGTTAGAGAAATATTTACTTTCACAAGTGTGAAAATGTCTTTATATTATAAGCATCTTATAACAATTTTTTAAATTAGAATAAAATTTAACATTTTGTTAGGCCAAAGTTATTTTTTATAAATACTATTAGAGTTTTCTGCACAACTTATAAGACAAAATGTACGACTAACTGTTTACTAAATTTAAAAGCCATTTAAGCAATTAGCTTAAGTTTTGCTTCTACAATTACAATTAATTATCTTTCAACTATTTGGTTGGCCAGTGCAAAAGACATTCTCTGATTACAGTTGACTTTTGCTAATTAGCGAAATTGATTTGAGTTTTATGGCGCGCAAAATTGAGATGACTTTAAAGTGGGGGTGATGGGGATGAAAAACAGCATGAGGGGCCAAATCTAATTGAAAGTAAATGTTTTGCATTAAATTCACTGACTGCTGTCGAGGAATCAAACTGTTTTTCAGTGGAACAGGAAAATTTCCAGCAAATATCTCAACACTTCTATTCGTTTTTTCGACACTCTCTTTGCAGCTGTTGTGACATTTTTTTGGCAAAGTAAAACGCAATGGCGCCAAAGACGCCGCCATTTTCCCAGCTCGACAAAATGGCGACAAGGACATCCACATCCACATCCAAATCCACGTCCACATCCAGTTGGCTCTGCCGCCTGCTGCTATTCGGCTTTTGCATTGGCGCCGCCGCCGCTCGAGGTAAATATCCATAAACATTTATACAAAAATTCATTCGCAGCTCTATCGCATAAAATTCGCCAGCATAGATAGCTTTTGTGGCTTGAAAAAATACACATATTTATATATAAACAGATATATATTTTTGTCGGGTGCAGCGGACAAATGAAAACAGCCACGGCACCTGCGGCCTTATGGTGTGCAAAAACTAATTATGTATCTGTCAAAATCGAACGGGCAAACAATGCCTTCCGCTTGTTTCATCGTGTGCATCCAATACCGCACATAAATATTATTAATTAATCTGATAGTTTCGCTTTAAAAACGGCATGAAATTCAATTAAATTTATTTTTTGGGAATGAGTAAGAAATCATTGCATATGCCGGGCGAAGGTTTAAAATATATATATTTATAACAAATATTTAAGTCACTCATTCAATAATCTAAAATAGTTTAAGCCCATTACCAAAAAAAATTGAAAATTGTGAAAACAATTTTTTGCCAGTGTTTTGTTCAGCTATAAAAAAGGGAGTTTTGTAAAATATTTATCATTGTTTAGAAGTTTACAACTTTGTTCCCACAAAATCAGCGTATTACTTTTCACAGATCACGAATAAGATAATTTTGAATGCTACAAAAATTATTTGAAATCTTTGATAGAGTATCAGTTTAAATATCAGCAACCAAATCTCGTCTTATTCCACAAAATTACACTTCCACCTGCATTTTCCCGGAAAACTGACTCAACTACAAAATCCCCAACTCGTGTGGCATACACAAAGCGGTAAAGTGTACAAAAAAAGAACTCTCGAGATACACATATATATATTTATCAAAATGGTGTTTCAGTTGACGTTTAAAAAAATGGAATTGCATTTGCACGTGATACCCAGGGACGATTTAAAAATCAGAAATTCCCTGAATCGAAGATGGGGATGGCCGACCGGCAATCATACGAATTTCATTGCAATATTGCGACAATTTTTATTAAAATTTTAGAATTTTCAATTTATTTAGCACTCGAACCAGCAGTTGGTCTCCTCAGTTGCCAGAATTTTGCTCTTTGATTTGTTGCAGCTGCGTGAAATTTGGTCAGCAGATATTGGCCAGTAACGGAACGGACACTGTACGTGATTTGATTTCGCTTTACATGCCGGTCTCTGTCGCTTTCCGTTTGGTCAGCACAATATCGCCGCTGGCAAGTCAAAGTATTCAGTAGTTTCAGGAATTTGAGGGATTCTGTGCGATTTGTTGGTCATTTAAAGCGAATCGAAAGCGAATGGGAATCGAATGTGAGACTAATAGAGTTCCAATTGAATTGGCCATTTTGTTGATACTTTGTAAAGGCAACTCGAATGTTTATCGGCCAGACAGGAAACGGTTTAGCATCCTCCTACTTTTTTTATGAAAAGTAGGAATAAAATTTGCAGTGGCATCTGGAATAGGTCGACAAGAGAAAATGCTCTTAAGGAAAAGTCAGGTATTTAAATTCTGTAAGCTCTACCCAATTTAAATCAAAGGCATTTTAAATATTGAAAAATATTTCTTACCTTACAAGAATTTGTAACTTAATATTTAATTATTAAAATAATATTTTAATTACAATTTCTCAAGATGGAATTACTTTGTTTCTTTTTTAACTTTCTTTTCATCAAAAACTGCTTAAGGAAAGCTTCCTGTTTTTCGAAAAGGGTGTCTTAATTTAAGTTCAGAGGTTTTCTCCACTAGTCGTCGGGTCTGTCACCACGCTGATAAGTTTTGCTGCTGCTGTCACCCCCAAGTTGTCCTGCATCCTGTGCCTCTATCCTGCTCTCATGCAGTCCTGCTGTCCTTCGCCTCCTGTTGACCCAGGCAAATGCTAATTTTATTATGACAAATGCGCCGAGTCAGGTAGAGACTTTCCTTTTTTAACTTGTGTTTTTTAGCTGTTTCGCAATCACCAGTCTAGACAACACCCCAAGCTCCTTCCTTCCATCAGGGGAGAAGCCTCATTTATTACGAACGCTAATCTAACAACAATCTGCAAAGTGCTTCGAGTCATTGGTTCGTTAGCTTTGGCTTTATAAACGATGCTCCCGCACTTATCCCATAATCGGAATCAGGCTACCGTCTTACCCACAACAGCTTCTAAATCACGCCCCACGATGGGGTCTCTAATTGAAAATGATCACCGGTTTCCAGCGGATTCGCCCCTCAATTACGTGGTGCGTACTAGCTGGTCTTAACCTAAGTAGACAGTTTGTTGGTTTGTTGAACAACATAAGCACGCCTCCAGTAAAGCAAAAACAAACTAGCAAATTGCTGTGCGAATAAAGATCTTGCAACCAGTTGAGGATATATAAGTGTGTGAATTCAGGTATCCGCGCCTGCGTTGTGGAGCTCCTTCTTCTGGCCTCATCTGCAATCTTCCCCCACCTCGGTTGTCAGCTCTAATCTAAATAAGCGATTTGTCTGTGCATAACTTTGGCCCCAGACCAAGAACCAAGCAGCATGCCAAGAAGTGCAGAGAGAAAAAGTAGCTAGGAGTTTGAAAAAATCGAAATCTAAATTGTTTACGTATTAATATATTATATTTATTTAGTCTTGCATACAAAAATATATTTCCCATATGTTTTTTGTATTTCTTATCACCTATTCTACTTTGTGAGAAATTTTTAGCTATCTAACTATAATATATAAATCTTTATAAATATTTTTAAATTCTTGTAAAAATAATTATACAATTTTTTTCGCTCACTGCATATATGCAACTCGAATCGTAGAGTCGTTTGTGCAACTAGGAGTTAAATAATAATTTGTATAATTTATACTAGGAACTCTTTTGCTGCGCAAAAGGTGGAATTCACAAGGCGATAGCTTCTTATGGCCAACTGATTTATCGGGCCAGGAGTGGAATTTCTTTTGGGCCGAGGAGTTGGGCATAAATAATTAACACGTGCATAGTTTGAATTGCAATTTGCGACTGGCTGCTGGCATTTTTATAGCAAACTGTTGACTCTTCGATTGTCCAGTTTGAAACTCAAGATGCTGCGATTCTGTTCTATTCTTTTCCTGGAAGCAGCGAATAAAAGCACTTCCGTAAAGTTGTCAAGTGGTGGGGCTTTTGTTCTACTCAAGAAGTTCACTGTCTGCGATGGACAGTCAAAAACGTTTAATTGTTTATTCATGGCATTGTTGTGCCAGCTAAATGAATGTTAATGACCTCTTCGAGGGATATAAATATTTGATTGGGAAAAGTGTTGAATGACAGCTCTTCAAACTCAATTAGAACTCTTTTTTCCAAGGAATTGCTTAATGGTAAATAGATAAAGTGCACTTTTAAAATAGCATTTAGCGAGAAAATATTTATATCAAGGCATACATTTTGTTTTTCTGCTAAATAACCGTGATTTAACCACATGAGTGTCACGTAAAATGAAGCTAAAGATAGTATCGTTCAGTCTGTGGGAATTTTATTATTATTGACACAAAACTAATGCAATAGAAAAGTTTGGTCTGACATAAACATAACCAGGACAAGAACAATTCCAATTGCCACAGCAGTGGGCAAGGATTTAGGGTCTCATCAAGTGGCAGCTGCTTTGATTGCTGCTCTCCAAGTTTCTCCTTCTCCAGCTTGCCACAGCTGAGTGCGCCAACAAATTCAACTAATTGTCAGCAATTCATTTACAGAACTGTATGTAACTTTGCCCCACTTCTTTGTCGTGTATTTCTGTAATTGCTACAGCACAAACGTCTCTGCTGCCTCCGCCGAACACCTACATCACCAATTTCCCACATCCAATTGTGGCAAGTTTCTCGGTTTACGTTTTACAGACGTGTATTTCGGGAATTTATTTTATCCTTTTCTACACAGATTTATATTTCAAAATAAATGTATTAAAAAGCCTACGAACAGTTTAACCAATTAGATCAGAAATAAATAGCACTTTTATAATTTATTGTTTAATTGGATTTTAATTGTTGGTTTAACTAGCTCTTCAATTTTTAAACATTTGTATAAAATATTTAAAGTATTAAGATTTTAAATATCTTAGTCTGTTTTAATTACCTCTTAAAATAACTTGGGTCTTCAATTTATAAATGCCAATCCTTCAATTAAATTTAGCTTAAACGCAAGGAGAGCTTTCTAATTCTGTTCATTGCTTTCATCGACAATCGAGGGAGGGCAGGAGGAGAGCCTTTTCCAAGAAAGGACGACAGACTCCTTCGCAGGCGGCTTCCTTTAAACCGTGCCGCTCTACTTGCACTCATGTACATGTTGTAATTGTTATTATTCTGCTGGTATTGCAGCAGCTTAATTGAAAATATTGTGTGTGTCTGGCTCTTTTGTTTGGATGTGTTTAGCTGTATGGCCGGGGGCCTCCTTGTGCGCCACTCCCTAAATGAAATTAATTGAGGACCCCGGGGCCAAGCGAACACACACTCCCCCAATTGGCAACTAAAGTTGCGCCATACATATGTAACTTTTTATACGCCCAATATCCGGGGGCTATTGTTGCAGTATACCAATAGCCAAGCTTGGCGTATAAAAGGGGTAATAACGAAAGGGTGTCGGCCTACTCCGATACATGAGCACAATAGCTGGGAAAGTTGATCAATTGTTCGAGGCGGGAGTATACATATGTTCGTTTTCTTCAAGGAAACTTTTGTTTAAGTTAACTGACCGAGAAAATTCCCGCAATTTATTAGCCATTAATATGGCGGCATATTAAAGAAAGGCAAGCGATTTTCAAATATATTCTAAGGACGCTCCAGAGAAAAAAGTTACTCTTACAACTCCATTTAAGTCACGATATTTGAGGCATCGACAAAGAATTTTATGGGAAATTTATTCGTTATTCCTTGGGCAGGAAACGCAAAGTATGTGGGTGTGGAAATGGAGCACGAAGCCCTCCTAATGACATTAGCTTTCACGCAATGTGATTAACTGTCTGAGTAAATTGAGCAGCAAACAAAACATCAAGCTGCCTGGCACACAATTCATTACATGACCACCTCACCGCCAGATCACCACGAG